TGTCAGAATCCTAAATTCATGCACAGACTTATAAATCACAGCTACATTTTAAAACTAGTTCCTCCTATACTTCATACCCAAGACCAGAGTTCAGACCCTTACTAGTCTGCATTTCACATCTACAGTGGCTATAACAATACTTAAGGGCAATTTAGAGAAGACAGTCTGCTCCTGATTTGCTTTATATATTAGTTAGAGGCCCAGATAAAGGATTGGGGCTCCAATATGTCAGGCATTGTGTATACATAATGAGAAAATGGTCCCTGCTCTAGAGAGCTTACAATGTTAGTGATGCAACTGTAGCAGGAAAAAAGTCACAGAAACCTGGGGATCTGAATTCATGTCTTGCCAGGTAAAAAGCCTGTAAGTTTACCTTTAAATTATAATACTGATTTATTTAGAGCCTTTCCTCCCAAAGGAATGCTGTACCATACGCTGAAATGAGTCTGTGGCCACCTAGCATTCCACAGATGTCCCTTTTGCATACTCAGCATACTATAGGAATGCAAAACTTTTACAGCACCGGGGGACAGAACTAAGATCTTCTTGCTCCAAAAGCCAAACCCCCTACCACTTGAACTAAAGGCAAATCTCCATTAGCTGTTAGCAGTATCTGGCCTATAACAGAGTTGGGCAGCTCTAATTATATCGACTAGGAGCTGTATATCTACCTGTAGTCAGTACATTTCTTGCTCTAAAATCCTTCCAACTGCTTACTGGTTCCTTAGCTAAAATCCCTTTAGTGGCTGTTGCTAGAACTCCTCCTTAACAGGTTACATATTTCTTAAGTGCCTCAGAGAAAAATATGTCTCCTCTTCATTAGGGATGTACAAATACCAGTCATACTTTCTTGAGCTAGCTTATCTAGTCAAGTGTTGAGGCACGATGGCTCCTGGTCATTCTTTCAACAGGTTTCCCCCACTGACCACAAAGAAAGTGGGAAGTCTTACCCCATTATTTTTGTTTAAGTTATAGTATTTCACATAAGTTATTTATGACAAAGATTTCTGAAGATATCTTGTCTTAGGATAGATTTTTAATGCCTTATGTAACCCTTCTGCCCCTCTGAGTTGGCAGCAACAAGGGCCGGGTTCAGTATCTAGGGGTTCCGTTTCAATAACACAATGCAAAACCGGCTCGGCCCCCACCCAGTGACCTGGGACAATTACATACCACCCCCCTGGGCGCCTCTAGGGGGCAATACTTCCCCTCTCGCAAGCACGGAGTCTGAGTGTAGCAAAAGGCTTTTAATAAAGGAGGGAAACAATGCGGCATTATGTTGGGGAAACACCACAAACAGGATTCATAACACAAACCATGAGCAAAAGATCCACCTCCAACTAAGTTTGGCAGTGTCCTTTTTCCCTGAGGGTCTTAAGTCCAATCACCCCAAAGTCCAACAACCCCAAAGTCTCTGTCCCTGGTCAGTGCCGCCCCAGAGTTCAAAAGTTTATCTGCAGAGTTTTACCCCCCCAGCCTGGGCGGAAATGGGGGGGGGGCACACACGGGATGTTAAGGGGCACCTTACGTGGTCCGAGGCCAACTGCCCCACCTCTCCGTGGAGTTCTGCTGCAGCCTTCACCACGAATGGCTCCGCTCTACCAAACGCTCCGCTCCCTGTCTCATGAACCGCTCCAGCTGCCCCCGCAAATGGCTCAGCTCTGCTCCGCTCTGCTCGGTGGTCCGCTCCAACCAGCCCACAAACTGCTCGGCTCTGCCAGATGCTTAGCAATATTTCTTCAGGCTCCCCCACTGTTTAACACAGCACTCAGTGATCTCAGCTCAGCAATTTTAGCGATTTCAGTTTGTAGTAGGGGAGCCCCAGTGCTTGTGCACCATTGGCCCAAAGTGAATTCAGTTCAGCAACTTCTAGCTAGATTCTTAATGGAAACAAACTTAGCTCTGCTATTTAACAGTGGAGAGAGGGGAGTAGTGCAATTGGTGTTCCAGGCCCACAAAAGGGGCCCATCCCATCAGGTATACATACATGTCCCCAACTTCTCTCTCAATTCACTGGGTTTTGTAACCCATGCCCCTTGTCTAGTGAGTGCTACTTAGTTACTGGTGAGTCCCTCTGTCATACAACAGTTCCACTGGCCTTGATTCACAGAATCAGGGTAAAAACACTTTATTCTTCCTGCCCCAATAACAGAGAAACTGGGGATCCCACACCAGCCAAAGTACCACTTTCAGTTGTTGTTGTCCCAGGCTAGGCGGGTGGGTGTGCCTATGCAAACAAGATCAGCCCCTGAAGTTCTTTTCCACCCTCGCCATAATTCACCACCAGATGTCAGGGTAGAGCTGGAGGCTTATTTATATTTTATTTAGCTCATCCTGAGGGTACGTCTACACTTACCTCCGGGTCCGACGGCAGGCAATCGATGTTCTGGGATCGATCCCGGACGTGCTCACCGTTGACGCCGGTACTCCAGCTCAGCGAGAGGAGTAAGCGGCATTGACGGGGGAGCCTTCCTGCCGCGTCTGGACCCGCGGTAAGTTCGGACTAAGGTACTTCGAATTCAGCTACGTTATTAACGTAGCTGAATTTGCGTACCTTAGTCCGAAGTGGGGGGGTAGTGTGGACCAGGCCAGACTCTGCTTACACTTATAATATCTATCAACTTTATTATGAATCATCTAAATGTTTCCTTTGAAGCCAGGGATATAGCATAATGCTTGGGAACTGCCAGTGTTTAACATGTATTTGTTGATAGCGTTTCCTTCAGGAACTTCAGGTTTCCGAGCCATTCTTTTGATTCCATTACTGGATTCCTCCACATCCAAAACTCCCAGGAAAGTTAGGATCTGGCTAATCTTTGACTTAATTATTCCCCTTGTTTTGTCAATCATTTACCCAATTTACCCTATCTTTTCCCCACCTCTTTAAAAACTGAGTCAGCACTTTCCTAAAAAAAAAAAGCATCAGCAGCCCAGCACATCAACAACCCTACAATAACAAACCAGCATATGCAGTTAGGCACATACTGCAGAGAAGAGTGTATTTTGCTAAGGAAACATTTTAGTGTGATAATACTAGTGAAAAAAATTCTTTAAAAAAATCATTACAGAAGCACTATGTAAGCAGGGTCTTGTTTCCCACCTGATTCCATACAAGACTCCAGGTTCTTCAAGACTTTGTCTACACTTACAAATTTTGCTGCTTTAACTGTGTTGGTACTCTGTCCAGCCCCTCCCAGCATGGATGCAGCTGTGCTAGCATAGCTTATTCCAGTTTCACAAAGCAAAAAAGGATAGCAGTATAAAACACCATTGTATTGGTATAACTGCCTCTATAATAGGACTTTTTATTATGTTGGTTAAATAAATATATCCATCTCATACTCCTAACTGACATAGTTATGCCAGTAAAACTTTTTAACCATAGACTAAGCCTAAGTCTTAACTGGGTCCTGATTCACAAAAGACACCACAATATCAAAATCACAACTCCTGGGTTATGGTCTGTTCACCCAAATTACCCTCTATAATTAAAGTCCTCCCAAAAGTTCTTCTCAGAGTCACCCTTCCTTAGAGCTCTTGGTTACCCAGAGCACTATACTGCCACTGTTACACCTTCTCCCCCAGGTTGGTCCCACTCAGGGCTCCTGTCCCAACCACACTAGTATACTGCAATCGCAGCTCAACCCTCTCAGATCAAACAAGTCTGTTCAAACCCCAATTTTATTCCTGAGAGCTACTTTCTCTTCCTTCCAGTCAGGTGAGTTAACAAGCCAGCTGCAGAAGAGGGTCAACACATTCAGTTAACCCTTGCTCATCCAGCTTCAGAGCCACTACTAATAAGGTGAATGTTTGTTAGGCGACACTGCCAGCTTATTCATACTGATCTTTTCCCTCATCAGAGTATATAGAATTGCTCTAGTTAAAATGTGAATGTAACTTCTGTTATAAGCGTTCAGCATTTCAAAGTCATAAAAGCATCATGCCACCTGACTGGCCTACTTTTCATTACAAAGAGTTTTCTCCAAATATAGATCTGTTCCCCTACCCTACCCTATACAACTGGCTAAGTTTTCCTCCATACTTATGTCTAACTCTTCTATTGTTTTCCTATTATTTGGTACAGTTATTTCTAAACATTCCAAATAATTGCAAATACAATTTTCCTACACATTCTCAAAGGATCAATCCCAATGATCAATAATAATAATTCACTGGGGGGGAGGAGAGAGACACAAAGTTAGGGAGCCCAGACACTGATGTGTGAACTTTCCTGCTGCTCTCAAGCTACTACTAAGAAACTTGCCACCTCTAGGTATGTCTTAACTTGAACTTGAGCTGATACTTCAAGTACGGTAATCTACACTTGAGCTAAGTCCTCTTGAGGTAGCCTAGCTCAAGTGAGAATGATCACACTGTGAGAGAACACTCAGGCTAAACAGAGTGGTTGTGTTAGCTGCTTTGTTGTGCTAACTCAAGTTTTAGTCTATACCCCATCACTGCCGGCCAACTCGAGTTAAAAGCACCATCATACTTTAGTTAAGAGTTTTTGTGTGTGGACAGGACTTGAGTGAGGCATAATTCTTGAGTATTAACTTGAGTACATTCTGCAGCGAAAACAAGCCCTCTGGCATATTGGGCTAATTATTTAACTTTTTTTCTCTCTTGCTCACCTCACCTGAAGGTACCAGCCATTACCACCTCAAGGCTCTGATCCTGCACAGACTTGCGCACATGCTTAACTCTATACACTGTGAGTGATCTGCAGGGCTATGCACAGTGTGTAAAGTTCAGCACATGCATAAAACTTTGCAGGACTAGGTACTAACTTGTACTGGAGCTTCATTAAACCGCTAAAATAATCTTAGCAGATGCCTACGGAGTATGTTCTGAAGTGACTTTTCAATTTGTAGTTTTCCCCCTCCCCAGAGGCCTAGCAAAGTCTCTTCTCCTTGTTAAGGACCACCGATACAAAAAGCTTCACTTCAGCCATTTTCAATGTACCTGTTTCCTCAAGTTTTTTAAATAAAATAAAAACTCACCTTTGAGCTCAGATCAAGAACAAATAATATCAGCCCATCAGACAAGTTTCTCAGAAGATTATGTGCCTCTGAAAACAAGGAACAATGGAAATCATTTTGCAACCTAAATGTATTTTAGTCTTTTCTACAAGCAAAAGCTGTCATGTAACATACTGGTGATACAGATTCTCTAGGTGATTCAGATGGTAGTGATGCAAAATATTTTCTAAGTGTACAGATGATGCAAAGGATCAAAAATATAAATGCTCAGGAACAGCACAAAATACAGAAAAAAAACCAGACAGTTTAAGTACTGGGCTAAATTAGGGCAATTATATTTGGATAGTGGTAAATATAGAATAAATATAGGTGCAAAATAGGTGAAACAGCTGTGAAATGGAGAAGCCACAGCAGCATCAACAGTATATTGATTTGAAAAGAGATTTGAAATCCCTGTAGAAGAGCCTGTGCCCCATCATGCTGCTTCAATAAAGAAAGCAAACACAATGCTGAGTTATTATGTTGCAGCAGAGTGAAGAAAAATCAAAAACTGAATCTGGAAAATCAAGCATAAGAAGGTATTTTTTCTGTAAACGCGGTGTTTTAGACCTCAGCTAGTATATGGCATGTGGGGTGATCCAAAGTTACGATTTTTCCAAGGGATAGTAAGCATTTTAGGGTAGGGACCTCCATCTTCCTTTGTTTGTATAATGCCTAGCACAATGAGGCTCCAGTCCTGAATGGGGCCAGTAGGTGCTACTGCAAAACAAATAATAATAAAGAAAGGGCGCAGTGGTGAGCAACGAAAAAGTTTATTAGTTAATTATCAGGGAAAAAATGGATAAGAACTGCAGTGGTCCTACTTCCATCTACATCCTGGAACAGATAGGTGACTGTAATGGTCCGGTGCGGGGGCCGGGCCCTCTCAGGGGCCGTCGGGAGTCAGGCCGCTTCACTATGCGGCCCCCAAATCGGTCCTTGGGGTCCAGAAGTCCCGGGGTTCCGCCCCTCAGGCAGGGGCTAAACAAAAGCACACGGTTAGATGGGCCCCAGGCCCTTAGTCAGGGCGGGGGACAGCAACCAATAGTTCAGGGGGCTCAGGTCCTTGTCGGGAGCTGAGCACAAACAAAGTCTAGTAGCCCCGGCCCTTAGTCAGGGCGAGGGGGACAGCAACCAATAGTTAAGGGGGGCTCAGGTCCTTGTGTCAGGAGCTGAGCACAAATAACGTCTAGTAGCCCCGGCCCTTGGTCAGGGCGGGGGTAGCAATCAATAG